GATCGGCGGTACGAAAGGCTCAAGCAAGGCATCAAGACATTTGCTAACAAGAGTTCATCCCAGCTACGAACGGCCTTTTCTCCGCTGGAGGTATCATCGGCTGCCTCCTGATGACGAAACTCGCCGACAAATTTGGACGAAAGAGGGCTATCCAGGGAATCTGCGCTGTTTGTGTTGTTTCTGTCATATTCCAGGCTGCTGCCGTACATATTGCTATGTTGCTTGTGGGCAGGTTCCTCAATGGTCTTGGGTAGGTTCAGAGCGTAACTACGCTATTCACATATACAGCCCAGAGCTTACGTTAATCAATCTTATAGGTCCGGCATGATGAATGTGATCGTACCTCTGTACCAGTCAGAAGTTGCTCCGCCACACATCCGTGGTCGCATGGTCGGAGCTCATGGTTTTTGTCTCGTCCTCGGCTATGTCAGTTCCCTCTAAACCCTCAGCTCCCAATCTGTTTCATCATGTCTGATTCCATCTTCACATTATAGAACTTTGCCGCCTGGACCGGACTCGGTTGTTACTTCGCGACCAATCCTCAAATGCAGTGGCGCCTCTGCCTTGCTCTTCCTGGTTAGTAAAAAGTAAGCTTTGCATTTCGAGTATCACATCACTGACGCCATGGCCCGCTCACAGCTGTTGCTCCCGGCATCCTTGGTCTTGGATCATCGTTCATTCCAGAATCTCCCAGGTGGCTCGTAACACAAGACCGTGGGACCGAGGCCCTCGATATCCTCACCAAACTCCACCATCAACCGGGCGACCTGAACAATGAAGCGGCCCAATCTGAGTGCCGCGCTATCAAGACCCAATTGACACTTGAGTCAAGTGAGCCCAAGTCATTTGTCGGCATCATGAGAAAACCTTCCTATCGCAAGCGACTCCTCATTGGCATATTTGTCCAGTAAGTAAACTGAAAGCACCATGAGCCACAGCATGCCTCGAACGTGAGCTGATTCCATCTCTAGGTGCATTGCCCAATCTACTGGAGTTCTTGTAATCAACAACTACCAGGTCCTTCTGTACAACGGCCTCGGTCTAACAGGTTATCTCCCACTCCTCCTCTACGGAGTGTATACAGCTTGGGCGGCTTTGCTCAACTGGGTGGGCGCTATGTTTGTTGATAAGTTTGGTAGAATTCTTATGCTTACTGTTGGGCTTGTACGTGTTACATCCTGATCCCCTTTTTGGCATGGAAATACTGATCATACCCAGGTCGGGTGTGCACTGATGGTTGCTGGCGAGGCAGCCATCGTCGCTGTTGCCGCCGAGAATAAGAACAACCACGCCATCAACGCAGCTGGTGTATTCTTCCTGTTCGTCTTTGTTACTTTCTATGCCACATGTATCGATGCCATCAGCTACATTTACTGCACCGAGATCTTCCCCACTTCCATCCGAGCCAAGGGCGTGAGCTACTCCGTCATTGGCCTGTTCATCATGACTCTGAGTAAGTGAAACTTGTTTCAGATATTGATTAACTGACTGACATATGCTGCTAGTTTATACGCAGCCCGCACCTATCGCCTTCGCTCAGGTCGGGTGGAAGTACTACCTTGTCTTTGTCATCGTGCCACTCCTAGGTGCCCCTGTTGTTTTTTTCATGTTTCCTGAGACTAAAGGTCTTTCATTGGAAGAGATTGGTACTCTCTTCGATGACGGTAATGATACTTCAACTGTTGAGGTTCGAGAGGATGTTACCGAGAAGCTGGATTGCTTCTGAGCTGTGGCAATACGAACTCAGGTCGTGTCTGTTTACGGATCGTTTCAATTGAAAAACGGCATCAGCGTCTGATTAGCTGATATGTAAACGTATCGTGTGAGGCGTGCGATGTAAGCCATCAGCTGTGGGGTCTATCAACTCAAAATAACACTCTTATCAAAGTCACTCCGGGCAGTATACCAGCTACCCAACACAATTGCCTAAGATAGGCTTGTAAAGCCTATTTGACGATGATTACATCTGACGCATAAAGAGAACTCTGAATACATTCCCCAAGGGATATGTAAACGTATCATTCTATCTTAAGCCTTCATTTCTCTAATCTCTTCCAAAGTCTTCAACATTCAGTCTCCTGTCTTTATCGATGCCTAGCTAAAGCTCCTGTCTTTGACGACAGTTATGTCTCTGATGACAGTCACAAATAATCTCTGCTGTATACACTTTTTCATAGCTATTCACTCTGAAAACCTACTCCTCTCATTGGCCGCTTCCAGGTTTCACTATACCACGTTGTAAATTACTCCAGAGCCACATCTTCGGATAATGAACCCAGTGTCCTTGTAGGTTGTTTTAGACTCTTTAAGTATCTAACGCTGCATAACGTCCATTAAACCTACACCAAAACCCAAAGTCTGATCGTTGAAATAAGCATAAAATTAAGCTCAACACAACGGTCAATGCTCGCAAAAACTATACTGGATACCAGACCAACTTTGCTCCGCGTCACGCTGATAACTAGTCCTCTCGTCCATGAGCTTCAATCGATGCTCGTTCGCCTCCTCCAACGTCATCGGCATCGTCGACTCATCAGCCTCAGTTTGGACCATTTGTACCAGCTCCTCCGGAAGGGGATTACCACTCTCGGCCGCAGCTTTCAGAGCAGGGTGCTCTCGCTCTCCCCTAGACACTAACTTCGCGACTGCGTTTGGAATGTTCTTCGCACTCTCCTCATTCAAGCCCCTAAATGCACTCTCCGACCACCAACTCTTCTGCTGAGGCGGCACGTTTCCTGTGTTGATAATCCTCGTTCTTGGATCAACAAGCCAAAGCGCTATGAACCGTCGATGCCCTGGTTTGCTCTTATCATCCAACTCTACAGGCGAAACTCTATGGTGGAAGACATTCGGGAACGCCAGCAATCTACCCTGCTTCGTCTCAATCTTTCCATAACGCTGAAGGCAATCTCCGCCTCTTAGATTGGTGCCGTAAACTTGCTCCATCCAACCAAAAGCATCCTGGCCGATATTCCAGTCCTCTTGGTAATAGTCAGTCTGCATACGGAATTGCAGATAACTGGGCTTTACGTTCTCTGAGTCGAGGTAGTAAAGGGCTGTGCCGACAATGTGCTCGTTCATTTGGCCTTCTACGTGCCACCCTCCGGCGGGAAATGTCGGTTTGTCAGGTGTGAGTTCGATGGAAGCCATTTTGACGATGACTTGGAGGTCTTTGAATCGTTCGCGTAGTGACATTCCTGGCTTGACACCATAGTCCCATGCTTTGAACTCGGGGGCCTCGGGTTGAACGGGCTCTCTGACCTCTTCCCAAGCATTCTTCTTGCGGGTGTCATAAAGGAGATCGCCATCTGCATCTCTGATGACGTCTTCATACTCAACCTCCCCTGCATCATCAGGCGTCCAGTCATCGATTCGTGGGGTCCAGTTTGCCTCGTTCTCGTCACTACGAGCGTTAGTGGTTCTTCTCCAGTCTAACTCCAGTAAATGGCTGTAACTTACTCGGGATTTTCAGGGCGCGGGAAGCGAGCCTTGGTCCGTCCAGCGGAGACGATGTCCCAGTCTCTTACAAACGACACACTGTGATCCCAGGCAGGAAGAGCTCTTTCAATGAGTTTCTCAATCGTCTCATAAATGTCACCATGTTTGGGATGCAGATTGTTGATGTAGCTCGTCAACTTGACACTTCCATCATCCATGAGCTTGACATTGGACGGGAGCCACTGGTAGGCATCAGACCAAAACAGCTTATGCGAATCGCTACCATTCACCGCCCAATTTATATGGTAGCGATTATCGTAGCCTGATGGGACGTCGGCCGGCTTTTTAGGTATGACTTCTCCTTTGCCGCTCCATTTGTCGACCGCATCTTCGACGCCAACTACCTCATCGCGAAATACGCGAGAACGTCCATACACGAGAGGATAAAGAGAAGGGTGTACTAGGTTCTGGACCACGTCATTGGTCCGAGGATGCCAATCTGGATTATCTTTCTGTTCGTCCTTGAGCTTTGCAAAAGCGTTTCGGAGACGTTCATGGAGGGTATTGTCGATGAAGGTATCTGACTTGATGACCGTTGCATTCGCATCCAAAGCTGGTATGAGACCAGTCTTTTCAAAGAACTTGGCCTTGACACGAAGCTCTTCGATACACTAAAATAATAAGCGCGGGACGGAGGATACAATTGAGCGTTCTCACATATTCGAGACAACCCCGATCTAGAATATATTTGAGTCTGTCGGGTCCATAACCAGCACCGCTTCTGGATCCGGGGTTCCTATGTTGCACAATCTCGTCGTACAAAGGATCAACCGGAAGTGCAAGGGCTTCTTGGATCCATTTCTCCGCAATGGCTTCATCAAAGACCTTTGATCTGATGAGCTTCATTCTCCATTCGATATTTCATGCATTCATTCATACCTTTACATGCCAGTCAGGCTTGTCGGTCAATTGATTCATCACAATCATCATGGCAGCCTCGCGCACAAGCAGCATATCAGATTCCGCCCCGACGGAGTTGTAGTGAATTGCAGTTGGATAGATTTCGCCTTCATGGTGGTAGTTATGATACCGAAGGTTCATGCCGAGGCCTGGATAGCAGCCGACGGTTGGAGGCTCAGGTTTCTTGTTAGAGAACATGGCGACGCGATTGAGTTGAGATATTGGAAGTTTACAGTGTAGTTGAGTTGGTGCAGACGCGCTGTACTTATTTATACGCAATACCAGCAACCGTTGGGGGTTGATATCCACATTCTTCCGTGAATGGATGAGTAGGAAGCTGCTTGTTTAGTCTCGTCAATTCACGAAACCGATCGCGAAATCACGTGCGAATGTGGGGGTATTTTAGGCAGGCCAGGCAGCCGTTCTAAGATATTAGAAGCTCCCATGCACAGCTAAGCCAGTTTGAAGGGTTCAGATAAGAAGAAAAACTTTTAACAATTAACAAGGCCAGAGCGCTGGTCTCCTAAGCTTTGTTGAAGACCAATATACCTTAATGCAGAGACTTGTATGATGTGCTACGCCCTTATTCTTCTTTGGTCTACCTATGCTCCATTTTCATTTTGTAGTTTTAAGTGAAAGCTTCTGATCAGGGCATCGCTCTCATCAAGTGCCATCACCTTGAGATCCGCCATGCTCTCAAGCTTGGCCGTGCATTCCTTAACCTGGGCGTCGGTCATCTTGAGACAAAGTTGGTCAACACGACTCTTGATGGCGTTCCATCCCGTGAGACTCGACGTGAAGTGCACGTATCTTGATAGACCGAAATCCTCGGGCTTGAGGATCTCATACGTGGACGGGTCGTTGAGGATTGCCTTGGCATGGATGCCAGCCTTGTGGGTTAATGCACAGACCCCAGTAATTGGGTTGTTGAATGGCACGTTGATCTCGACGCATTCTGCAACAAAAGCTTCGATCTTCTTGAGCTCGTTCAGCTTATGCTTGGAAAGAAGGTATTCTCTGGAGGCCGGCATCATTCTAGACATCTGTGATTTCATCGAGTCAGATCATGTCCAAGAATGCGTGAACCAATATCCCAAAGTACGTCAATATATCACTCCATGCTCAGCCGTTGCAGCGTTTTGGTTTTAAATGCTCTATCTGAATCATTTGACCAACACATGCCTCAACTGATATATGTAATAGATGCAGATGTAACTGAAGCTCCTCAAAGCTTGCAACAGACTCAGTGACACATCAATGGACCATCATCATGCCTTGTTGGTAGTTGAGGTGACGTAGAGTTGAAGACTACCCTACAGCTGACAAAAACAGCAGAATATGTGCTAGCGTGGTGAGAATTATAGCGAACTCCCCGTGCACGACCAGAAAAGCTTGTCCATGTGCCAATGTTGATCACGCTCGTACCAAGCAAATTGTCGCCATTCTGAGTGACTAAAAGGTTCGGCGCATCCGACCACGTCGTATTGTTTGAATCATGTGTCGCGTGCTCAAATACCAAGAGAAAACAATAGCTCGACTTTACGAGCTAAATCTGCCAGGTATGGAGTACACATTGACTTGGACTGTTTTTGTTTTCTCGGTCGTCGGTTATGTAACGAGAAATTAGTGATCGTCAGATACGACAAGGGACAAGGTGTTTCATGGCTTGTTCCAGCGGCATGACAGTGGAGTGGAGGTTGATCGTCTATCTCGTGTGCCGTGTACCGCCTCTTTCTCGGATCACGGAACACAAAGGAGGAAGCTATCGAAAGTCTATGAGATGGAGATGCTCGTATTGACGGAAATGACATTGGGAACATGTTATGACCTTCACGGTTAGCAATGCCGAGCCGTCGACCATCGACATCGCCTGGAGGCTGGAACCTGGTGTTGACCGAAAAAGGAGAAGAGGCCCCGCTTGTCAATGCAGCCTTTGCAGGTGAACTGCCGCCGTTGGAAAGGCTCTGATTCTTTTTTTATGACAGAAGCACGCTAGAAGGGTGAGTGCTACGGGGACCCGCTGCGAACTCTCAACCCCAACGAGTCAGCCATGGGGAGATGGGTATACGACACGACCAGTTATATTGCCAGGGCCGTAAAATGGGAGACGTTAAAGGATTCATCCATCGGTGAGCACATGATGAAACTGTAGCCTGCAGCTAGGCAGGTAGGTATGCATCGCAACGGTCGATCCCGCAACCAGATGGGTAACGGCAATAACACATAAGATGACGGATTATGAAGGGCTGAAGGATCTAGTTTATGCTTACTGTGCCAAGCATTCCAAGTTTTTAATCCTGTAACCGCGGTAGACAGGATGTAATCCAATGCAATCCATCAAAAAGACGATCCCAATCGAAGATCGAAACAGTCCGAGAGGCGCATTGCCAAATAAAATAAATCACCCCCGCTCAAAGGAACACCCCAAATCAAGGCAATGAATGGCGGTAGACGAGTGCTGCAGAGTGGTGGCGGTGCATGCAGATTGATTACGTCGGGCGGTTTCGCGGTGTAAAATACTCTTCAGCCCAGTAACTCTAAAGGATTTGGGATTCGTGCCACGCAGTAATTACCACAAACAGCCTGTCTACCCCACCGCGGAAGAGCATTGTTACGGCCCCGGCGGCCCTTGACATGCACGCCATGGATGCTTGGGGGTTGTCGAGTGGCGTAGCATGGAAACACAACAATACCTCAAGCCCATCAGCGGCGACTGCATGCTGATGTAGCTCGACCAAAAGAGATGCGCCATAATTGTGTGATTTCAGCCGGTCAATTTGTTCCGCCAACTGCACAACACTGGCGGTGCACACCAAGCTTTGACGAGCAGTCCTAGGCAGTACAGTATTAGCCACGTTGCGACCCTGGGCTGGAAGGGCTTCCCTAGAAAAACCATTGGCGGGGCTGTACCCTGCTAAAACGAGCCCCTAATAATCTGGCCGCCGAGGAGCTAATGAGCTACTTTTGGAGTGCCACTGACCCCTGAACACGCGACCCCTTTCTTATTTGGCCTCGAGCTCTTTGCTCTGCATGTTTTTTTCTGATGGTGTCTACCCCACATTCTCCCGCTCATTGGAAAGGAAGGTGCAAAATCGCCCAAGTCCAGACCAGCTCGTTCCATTGCGACACACGACACACCTCGGCCCTGTCAGTCATTAACTGTACGGTGCTAACGTTAGACTCTTTAGCTTGGGGGGAGACAGACGAGACTTCTTGGCTCTGTTTTATTTCCATCATTTTCTTCATTTTTTCCCCGATCCCTTCCCTTCCCTCCCTTCCCTTTTTCTTCTCTCTTTTCCGCCCCCATTACAAACCTCTAATCAACATCGTTGTCGTTTTTCGTTTACGTGCGCGCCGCCGCCCGCCCTCCCTCCTTTCAACAATCAGCGAAGCGGCCACTGCGTCTGAGTCTCTTCTCAACGACAGACCGCGCAAGGACGCTAGGCAAGATGTGTTTCCTCTTCTCGGTATCCTATGTTTTCGGCGTCTTCTTCGTCTCGGTAATCGCCAGCAAACTGCTACATCTGTGGACACATTTCTTCACGGTGCCCGCCTCGGCTTTTATCCTATACCTACCGACGTTCTTCCTCTTCGACTTGTTAGCGATATGCATAGCGAGGCTGTTTTTGAGTCAGTCCAAGACACCGTGGGCTTGGATTGGCTGTCTGTTCGGTACTATAGCTACGTATGTCTTGTCATTTCTCGGCGATCGATTGCGATGGCCCCCAATTTGAGATGAATATGCAAACTGACGTTTTCGCGACTTGGCAGACTTATCTCGATCGGCGGCTCGGCGTCGCAGCTTGGTTTCTTCGTTAAGACCGGTGGAGAGCTCGATTGGCGCGATGCGACAGCTTACGCTACAAGCAAGGAGGGTCTCAAGGTGCTTTTCAGCGGCAGCGAAGCCGTGATAGCATGCGGAATTGGGCTGCTCATTATCGCCATTCCCATCCATGGATTCTTCTACCGCGCATTTGGGGCTTTCGTTGGCGCAATTGGCGACAACATCCTCTCAGGTTCGTGTCTGCGATGTCGGCTTTGCTGGTCCGCCCACTAATGTTTTGCTTCACCCGCTAGTTTACTCCTACTTCCGAAGCTTTCGCGTGCGAATTCCTGGTATCCAGCGCGGTAGATACTCAGCTCTCAAGAATGCCGATACCGATCTCGAATCGACCGATACGTACTCGATGGATGAGGATTTCCGATCCAGCGCCGAAAACCCTCCGCGTGCGGGCGGAGAGAAGCTTGCCACCGTTCGAGGCAAGATTGCTCGATTCTTTGCGCGAATCCCATTCTTCTCGTGGCTGTGGAAAATTGCTCTCGCTCTTTTCCTCATGCTCACGCTGATTTTTAGACCTGCCAAGCCGTACGATTTGTTGTCAATCACGCTCCCTGTTTCGATGCTCGATGTTTTCGCTCCTGAGCCCGATTTCTGTCAAGCGCAACGAAGCTTGATCCAGAACGCCTTCCCGTTCCCCGACTTGATTAACAATTCGACATGGAAACAACCTGAGGGCGATTACTTCAGAGGCTGGGCGCCTTTGGTCAATAAGGATATGAGCCCTCTTGGTGAGGCGTACCGAAATCACTCTGTCGATTGGTTGCCCGAGAAGGGAGACCTGCCCCGTGGCTTTTTCCGATTCGATCCCAAGCGCTTCAAGAACGGTTACCACGGTTCACTTAGCAAGGGCAGCACTATCATTTCCGAACACAAGTGTCCCCAGGTCTCACTGCAAGAGAAGGATCCCTACTACAACCCCGTCCAGGACCCTCTGAAGATCACCAACCTCGATACCGATATTCTGCCTACACTGAAGGAGGCGCTTGGCAATGGTGACGTCAAAATTAAGCATGTTGTGTTTATTCTCATGGAGAGTCTGCGTGCAGACTTCTGGCCTCTGCAGCAAGGCTCCCATACTCACAGCCTGATCATGGATCTCAACAAGAGCGACAAGGAGAAGGAAGCGGCCAACGAGCGATTGTCCTGGATGATGCCTCACATTGAGAAGATCACTGGCCTGAAGCAAGGATTCACCGACAAGAACGGCAAGCCGTATGCGAAGCCCAACTACACATGGCACGATCAAGCGGAGGAGGGTTTCGGTGGCATCAATGTCGCGACCGCCTACACTGCCGCCACAATGTCAACCAAAAGCTACTGCGCCAATCACTGCGGTGCTTATCCTATGCCTGTCGAGAAATTCGCCGAAGCCGACACCGACAGCTACCAGCCTTGCCTTCCTCAGATTCTCAGCATGCTTAACAAGGTCAAGACCAACACATCCTCTGACGATGCCGATTTCCGCGATTTGCAGTGGAAGACTGCTCTCTTCGAGGCTGAGATTGAAGAGTACGATCGTCAAGAGAAATTCGACGCCAAGCTTGGCTTCGAGCACATCATCACCAAGAAGCAGCTCGAGCACCACTGGCGCTTCAACGAGTCGGACGTCTTGGGCAAGAAGATCAACTACTTCGCCTACCCCGAGCCCATCCTTATGCCCCATCTCCAAGACTTCATCACCAACACGACCGCCAACAACCAGCGCATGTGGTTGACTCACTTCACCAGCACTACTCACCACGCTTGGGGTCTTCCGGAGGGCACTCCTTACTACGATTACGTTTCTCACACCGGCATGAACAAGGTGCACGACAACTTCAACAGGTACTTGAACACCCTTCGCTGGCACGATGGTTGGATGGCCAGCTTGATGAACCTCCTCGACGACCAAGGCATCGCCAACGAGACCCTTGTCGTCTTCGCTGGTGATCACGGTCACTCTTTCAAGGACGACGGCGCTGGCAAGGAGGGCACATACGAGAACCAGTTCATCTCCAACTACCGAGTCGGCCTGACCTTCAGACACCCCCACCTCCCCCGAGTCCAATACGACGCCAACACCACCACCATCTCTATCCTCCCAACCATCCTCGACCTCCTCATCAACAGCGGTTCCCTCAACGAGAAGGACACCCATATCGCCTCCGATCTCGTCCAAGACTATGAAGGTCAATCCCTCATCCGACCCTACAAGAAGACCGA